TCGTATGTCCATCCGAATCTGAGTACAGTTCTATTTATTGAATATATACCTAGTAATAAAAAGATATTAAAATAAAAAATATTACTTTTGTAGCAGTGACCATTCTTATAATTGTTTTATTTTTCACTTATAAACAAAAAAAATAACCTTGATTGATACGCTAGTGTTCCCTCCTAAGGATCTAAATGAAGCAATTGCTGCGGCGGTTATCGCTCAATTCCCCGAAAGGCATTCCTCGACAGGGACACTTACCCGACATCACATAGGGTTAGGGTTAGCGTTCGATTTTAGTTGCGGGTATATATTTTTAGCAAATTGTTACGCTGTGTGATGTCGAATTGGGAAATAACTTTCGGGGAATCGTGCCGTAACCACTGCGGCACGTAGGGTGGAAGCCGGCGATTATTATGGCAACGGTAACGTCATTCCAACGAGCAATAGCAATGGCATTCGCAATAACAACGGCATTCTCCCAGGCAACATTTCCACAAGCAACTACAATAGTACCCTCCAAGTACTAGTAGGGTTTCGCCGGACAGTCCTTTAGAAGGATTTATTTTTGCGGTCAAGACCTTTCAGAATTAACTTTATTCACAATGTGACCACAGATGACTAAGATAAACAAACGCGTAAACAAAAGTAAAGGATGAAATATAGGGCTCAGTTCAAAAGAAAAGAAATCACGATGCGTCATAAATGAATCATGAATAAGCGACAATAGGTGTTGGGTACGGGAGAAATAGAAGAACACTTCAAAGCTCCATGAGTCTTTTAATTGTTGAAAGTTATAAAAAGACCATTTCTACTTTGTAATAGATAAGAATCTTCAGGTTAAAAATAAATTCTCGATCTCAATAAACCGTTTTAAAATAAATTATCTTGCTAAGCCATCACGTCACGCCTCTGGCGAATTGCCTAAATCTTTAATTTTCAGCATATTTCTTGTTGTCTTGCGTAATTTCACCCCATAACAGTAGTTAGACAATTTGCCTACGTACCAATTAAGGGATAAATATGAATAAGCACTTTATTTCAAACAGTTCGTTCAGGCTTATCTAAATCAAAGAGATAAAGATTTCATTTGACAATCCTGTTAATCAAATTCATAGCTAACAAATGAATAAATTCAATTTCAAAAATATACTTAATCTTTTAAGTTTTATATATAACTATGAATTTGTAAATCGAATTCTAGAATGTTATCTTGTTGCAACGGTCTCATTGGCAATTAATAAATCACTTTGTAAAGTAGTTTATTTGGATGTAAGATACTTGAATTTAACAGTAACATTCTTGAATGAATAGTAGTATAACTGTTGTAACTGGGAACGGAGTTTAAGTAGATTTGGAATTTCTTAATAAAATTATAAGTTTGGGGTGGAGTTCATTTTATATAAACCTACATCCTGACCCTAAAATCCAAATCAACTTAAATGCCGTCCGCATTTACAACATATCTACTGAACTGAAGTTTTTTGTACCAACAGTTATGGGTTGTAAAACAAGGTTGATCTACATCATTGTACGCTGATTGCAGGTTATAACGATAATAAACTAACACTGACCTGCATTTTGCCAATTATAAAATTTGATTTACCATATATAAAGCTACAATCGAGTCGTTTTGTATTTTCTACGTAGCGATAAAGGTTCTTTTATAAAAAAAAAAAATCAAAAATTTGGTAAGTTAAATTAAATTATAAAATCGATTAAGCAAAGAAAATCTTATATTGTAATGATACATGTAATTATAAATGGTACAAATATCCACAGAAACGTTTTACAATTTCACGAAGAGGTTTCTCCAAATCGTAAATCAAACCAAGGGTTTGTTTATTCCGGGATGATTTTATTGTTATCACTTGTAATATTCCTATTTCGGTTATCATAATTTTCTTTTTAAAAAATTTCGTATATATGATATTGAAAAAGAATTATCTTCCCGCCAATTAAATAATAGTTTTTATTAACATATAAAAAGAATTTATGTAAAAATGGGTAACCAACATTCTGAACAGAGAAATAATGATTCATCAAAAGAAAAATCAGGTTTATCACCTATTCCAGGTGTAGTCATGAAGTGGGGAACTTGTGCAGAATGTAAAAAACCAAACACTGGATGGAACTGGTGCCAACAATGTAATTCTAAACATTTCCAACGATGTTTTCAATATTGGACTAGTAATAATGAAATAATAGATGAATTCATAAGAGATACACAAATGTTAGCAACAACTCATTCATACGTATTTGAATGGATACCCTATAAAAAATTTTATAAGATAGAATATATTACACGTGGAGGATTTGGTAAGGTTTATTCAGCAACCTGGTTGGATGGCAGAATTATGAGTTGGGATTCAGATGTTCGATTGTGGAAACAATATAAATATAAGCAAAAGGTGGCATTGAAAACTATTTATAATGGGATGACAATAACGCGAGAATTTTTAGCGGAGGTAAATAAAAAAACGTTATATATCCTTTATCCATTAGTTGACTGTCATCATCATTAAAGTTTTTTTTTGGCCTTATCGTGTTTTTAGATCAAATCACATGCAGAACATGATGATCCAAGTTATATTGCTAATTGGTTTGGAATCTCACAGGATCCGTTGAGTAAAGAATATATAATGGTCATGAAATATTATGAACATGGAAGTATTCGTGACTATTTACGAAATAATCATATAAATTGGTTACAGAAGATGAAGTTTATACGGCAACTATCGTTTGCTCTTTCCACAATTCACGGATGTGACTTTTGTCATCGAAACCTTCATACCGGAAACATATTAGTTGATCATTTTCCATTTGCCAGGATCAGTGATTTGGGACAAGGCCATTTAATCGACACTCGTGAAGAATCTGGTTCTAAAAAAAACTTTATATTTGGTGTATTGCCTTACATTGCACCAGAAGTGTTAAGAGGATATGTAAAATACTCAAAATCAGCTGACATTTACTCTTTTGGTGTGATAATTTGTGAAATATTTTCAGAACAACCTCCATTTAACGATATTGCTCATGACTTTCAGCTTGCAATGGGTATTTGTAAAGGTGATCGGCCACAAATCAAACAAGATGTTCCATCACCTATTGCTGAATTGATTAAATTATGTTGGGATGGCGAGTACTATAAACGCCCAACAGCAAAGCAACTGGTTGAAATTCTTGAGAATGCATTAGAAAATGATTGGAAGATACCACCGGAGCTTATGGGTGATGATAAAAAGATTGCTAATGAAATCAAAATGTTCTTGAAATCTCACGGGAAGGAAACATTATCTGATTTTAAAATATATATAAAAGATCAAAATAATAATCATCCGGAAGCTATTTATAAAAGTCGAGAATTGGACTTTCCTGAACTATCAGATTCATATGAGGTAAATTTATATATAATTACATCCAATATATAGTTCCAATACAGTTAATTTTTATTCTTACATATTTTTTTGGCACTTTATTAGAAATTCCTGCTGCAGAATATTTCTGACATTAAAGGCATAATCCTAGACACCCTACCACAGCAAAAAGATGCATTGGGACAATCACATGATCGTGAGAAAATCGCATTTTAA